GTCAATTGCCCGTTACCAATCAATTCTGGGGGGATGCGCCAGATGATAATTAAGAACATAGCTCAACTCAGCAGGCTCCTGGCTTGGCTGGAGTTTATGCACTTAAACCAGTAACAAGCGATTCAATCCCGGCATACATAGTGGACAGCAGTTCGCCGATCACTCCTGTCAATCAGGGGACCATCGCCGCCGAGACGATTGAAGCTGCGGGGGTCACACCCTGATACTTCTTGGTCATACGGAGAAAGTCTATCCCAGACTCGCAGTGTGATCGAAGATTTCTCATGAATCACACAACCACGACAGTAGGTTTTGGAGGAATGGCCAACAGGCGAACACCGTGTGATTGAAACACCTATTCCGATGCACCGGAACTCGAGACGGGATGATTCTGGGCGTTGTATTGAGAGGCTCTTTAGCGAACGATAGTGGTCAGACTTTCCCGAACACGGGCCCCTGAACCAACCGGAAACTTGGCACCTCGAAACCACCCCTCTATCAGACGCATATTTTCAACTGCAAAGTCTTCGTAGAGAGGCGGAGTGTCTCTTCAAAGACTGGAAGACAGGTTAATTGGGAATGCACATGAAAACATCACTCGTTTGGCAAGACGCCGCAGTCGACGCAAGTCGATCAACGAACTATGGTTAGAATCTTTGTAAATGTCTAATTGGCTGAAAGTTTCCGCATAGTTTGGATCGCAGTTTCGCGTTTCATAGCGTCAAAATTTCCAGAGGTCCGGAAGAGCTAAAGAAAAGTTGCAACTACCGAGCTGCTAAGCGCCGGGGCCTATCTCTTGTCTTTTCGCGAACGATTTATCCAGGAGTCCATCACCCCGTTTCGCCGAATATCTCGCCGATCGGATACAAGCAAAAAGAGAGGATCCCCGTTGCATCTTAGTGGTGGCTTTTTCCTTTATCCCGGCCGTTTGCCCCTTTTACCACGTGGTTCTTCGTTTTCTCGTGTTTCTTATCAAGCCACGCAGCGAAGGTTGTATGGCGAACATCAATTGCTAGAAACCCGGGGCGTCTTGCTGTTGGTTCTGTTTGTTTTCTCTCTTTCTGATAGCGAACCCAGGTTCGTTGTGTACATTTTTTGAGCCGTCATATTTGTATACCTTCCCTCATTTGCGCAGCAACCATGAGCTCCGGCCTGGTCCCGCGGGACGGGACGCGCGACGAGCAAGACCCCATGCTAGGTGTCAGATCGTCGTCGGAGACTGACGTGGAGGATCGCCTGCTTCCCGACTCAGCCGACTTCAGCGAGAAGAGCCACTACCGACGCCATGCGGGCCACAAGAAGACGTTTCGATGGATCATGGTACTCACTTGCGTGTCCATCCTGACGCTCATTCCTTTCATTTTCGCCCAATTCTTCAACGTACAAACCAAGGACCGGCCGGCGGAACCGGCCCACGATGAGGACAACCATGAGGAAAGCCCGCCGCCGCCGCCGCCGCCACCACCACCGCCAGCGGACCCAGTGCCGGAACTGACGACGACGATAACGCCAGTAACGACTTCTTCTCTTGTCCCTACGCAAACACCGCAAGTGATTTTGACGCCTGATCAGCAGTTCAATCTGCAGACAGGATTCCAGGTGTCGAATGTGACGTCGATGCGGGAGTATGTGTTCAACATCACGCGGCAGCAGCACTCACCCGACGGCTTTGAGAAGTCAATGATCCTCGTCAACGGACAATCTCCCGGCCCTCTCATTGAGGCAAACACGGGAGACACCATCCGTGTCACGGTGCACAACCAGATGTTGAAGGAGAGTACCACGATTCACTGGCACGGCATTGACCAGAGAAAGTCGGTCTGGATGGACGGTGTCTTTGGCGTCAGCCAGTGTGCCATTCCTGCCGGCGAGAGCTTTACTTACGAATTCAATGTCACCGACCAGCGGGGCACGTTCTGGTGGCACGCTCATGTTTCAGTGCAAGTCACTGACGGACTCTTTGGGCCATTGGTAAGGTTTCTTCCATACTGATTCATGAGACATCGCTGGTGAAGCCCTGGCTTGTGAGCGCTTGACGATACTAACATGCTCTTCTGCAATGTAGATCATCCACGATCCGGATGAAAAGATCCCCCCTGTGGATGATGACAAGATTGTGATGGTCGGAGATCTCTTTCATGAATATGGAGGCACTGTGAGTTGACTCAGCCTCTATTACTCTCATTCGGTTCTCACAGATTTCTAGCTCCTGACGCAGTACCTAAGCGCCAATCCACCTTGGGCCCCTAAGAAGCCCGGTAGGGAACCTCCTCCTGACAACGTCATCATCAATGGCAAGAACACATTCAACTGCTCCAGCATTGAAGGCCATGACACAAACCAGGCCAAGTCAGGCGAGGACCATAGCGGCCACAACATGGAGAACATGGGAAGCCACAACACCCCGAGAGATGGTGCGCCTCCCCCCAAGTGCACGTGGGGTTCCCTCTTCAATACACGGGTCAAGAGTGGCTCAATAGCTCGTTTGCGTCTCATCAACCACGGCACATCAACTCCCATCTTTGTCACGGTTGACGACCACCCTCTGCAAATCGTCGAGATTGACGGCGTCGAGGTCGCTCCAATCGCCACATCCCGCGTGTACATGAACCCCGGTCAACGCTACTCAGTCCTCGTCCACGCCAACCAGACTGCCGGAAACTACCTGATTCGTGCCGACGCCGCGGTACGGTGCTTCCACATGTCCCACAAGAACCATAAGGCGGGCATGATGCACGGCACACCTTTCGGGGCCACCGCCATCCTATCGTATGACGAGACGGACCTTGGGGTCCCGCCGATTGGCAAGGCGTGGGATCTCAACGCCAACTCGAACCCTGGCGTAGGCAATGAGCCATGGGGAGACAGGTGCGAGGATTTGCCGCACAACCTTCCAAAGCCTGTCAGGAGCAGGCCGGCCTACGACGTTGGCGACAGGAACTACCATTACTTCACGTTCAAGCAGGAGCGCGTCAACGACGTCGTTCGTACACACGTCAATGATGTGAGTTGGAAGAACTTCTTGAGTGATCTGCTGAATGATACCCTGCTGACAACGATTAGACTCTGTATACACCTTTGACCGACGATGCCTCGCTGTGGAAGGTCATGCAGCAGGACATCACACCAGAGAACCTGAACTCGCCTCAGCCGAAACTAGACTTCGGAAAGGATCAATTCGTCTTGGTATCCCGAGACGACAAAGCTGCTCAAATCGTAGTCAACTCTGACGCAATGATGGTACACCCTTGGCATCTGCAGTAAGTTGCTTCACAACCATCAACTCTGAACCCATGACTGACCGTTTATCTAGTGGTACTTAATCACAAACTTATCTCTACTCTCCGCCAACGTGCTAATCTATAGATAGGCCAGAACTTCCAAGTCGTTGGTTGGGGCAATGGCCTTTTCGGAGCCAGCAAGACTACATGGAACTTTGACAACCCGATGCGCCGTGACACGATCACAATCCCAGGATACTCACACCTGGTAATCCGCATAACAGCAGACAACCCGGGTGTTTGGGCGTTCCATTGCCATTATCTGTGGCACGCTGAAGGTCGGTCATCCACTTACTTTCCCAGGGCTCAGAATATGAACTAACATTGCCGCAGCTGGTATGTTCGTCTCCATTGCTCAGCGAATGGGCGAGCTCGCGAGCATGCTGGGCACATTGGACACCAACGGTGATGCCGGTGCCGTCAAGAAGAAATTCTGCCCCATGGCCAAGGCACAAGCTGGTGCTCCTCTCGCACAGCCCGTTAAGACTGGGGCACCTAAACCGCCTCGGACCCTTTGATGTATGTAAGTTAGATTGGTTGTGATAAGAGCTGTTGATAGAAGTAAATACTTGAGTACACATTTAGACACTGGATGTACTGGACCCGATACACTTGTGCAGCTACTGAGGTCTTGAAAGGCTATCGTCCAGCGCAACAATGATTTTATAAATTCAAGATAGCTTCATTAAATGGCAGCCCCGTCGTAGGTCGTCGGCGCCGGCAGAGCCGCATGGTATTTGCCATTTGTGACCAATCAGTAACCGTTCCGACAGTCATCAAAAACGTAAATCCAGAAGAGGAAGGCCATTGAGAGTGAGCACTTTTCAATTTATCAGATATGATGGCATTTGATTAGCGAAAAGCTACCGGAAGAAGTTGACCTGAACTTTACTGAGTGGACTTGTGTGTTAAAGTCACCAAAAACACGACAGAATAACCGCCGCTAGTGAAATCCCGCTCGTCATTGGATTGATCGTGAAGCAAAAGGACTCCCCCGCATCTAGAAATCACGTATGCCTACGGAACCTATGCATTGACTCCAGGCTGCATTGCCCGTCCTACCACCTGGAGCTCTGCGGTCTTGTACCAAGCACCGAGATTCGGGTGTGACAATGGACCGGTTTCTGCGGGATGCTACATGGCAATTTCCCAGCCGGGGTGGGCAACGTTATGCTAAACTTTCTTGGTTGATTAGCGCAAATCTTCAACAGTCGGCAACGTCGGACGAACATTAGTTCCTAGGATTAAGGTTGCCTGGCACTCTATTTGAGTGTTGGTAGACTGCCGCAAGTTGCGGAGTCTCTAGCCAATCAGAACAACAATGAACCACTGGGTTACATTATCTCAAGCTTTCTTATCCCGGCCCTAAGGTCGCAAAGGGTAGGTCGTTAACGGATACACGTGCAGACGAATGGTGTTCCTGGGACTGGTCACTGCATGTCGGCTTCGCTTATTTGCGAGATCGCCAGGTACGAGAAGTTTACTGGTGCAGATTGCGAGACCCTCAAGGGCTAGATCCCGCCGATATGGTGCCACGGTATTGTTCATTCCGCCCCTGACATGGGGAAGCAATCCACCGTCCGTGGAAGCTATGTCACATTGGAGTATATAGAGCTGTCCGGTTGGCATGTGGAATGCAACGACGCCTTGTCTCCAGCGTCAAGATTCCCTTCATACGCCAAGGACTCAATTCCAGATTGAGTTGACAACACCGCAATAATGGCAAAGACTTCTCTCACCCTCCTCTTGGGCACCCTCTTCGCGGGGGCCGCCTATGGTGCTGAGCTTCGCAAGACGTATATCGTCCAGATGAAGCACACTGGGGCCTCTGGTCTCCGACGCAGAGATCTGTTCGACTCTTCCCTCATCTCCGTTTCCGCCGATCCTGCCAACGTGCTCTACCACTATGAGAACACGGTCAACGGATACGCCGCCAAGATCACAGATGGCCAAGCTGACGCCCTGAGAGACCGGGACGACGTCCTGTCTGTCACTCTTGACAAGGCCTACCGCCTTCACACCAGCAGAACCCCGAACTTTCTAGGCATCGACGATGCCTCGCTCCTTGGGCGCGGGCTCGACGTCGGCAGCTATCTGGACGAGAGAGACGACTACAACGGCACCAACCCAGAGTCCAACCTCATCGTTGGCATATTCGACACGGGCGTCTGGCCCGAGAACCCCAGCTACAAGGATGACGGCATGCCACCCATCCCTGCCAACTGGAAGGGCGAGTGCGAAATCAGCGAGGACTTCCCGGCCACCAGCTGCAACAAGAAGCTCGTTGGCGCGAGGGCCTTTTACAAGGGGTACGTCGCCGCCGTCACCAACGACACCGGCTCCTTCAACTGGACCGGAGAGTACCAATCCCCCCGAGACGACGACGGACATGGTACGCACACTTCGTCCACCTCAGCTGGAGCCGCCGTGCCGAACGCTAGCCTTTTCGGCCAGGCCTCCGGTACAGCTCGCGGTATGGCCGAGCACGCCCGTGTCGCCATGTACAAGGTCTGCTGGAAGGAGGGCTGCTTCAACTCTGACATCCTCGCGGCTATGGATAAGGCCATTGAGGATGGCGTCAACGTCATGTCTCTTTCTCTCGGCCCCGATCAGCCCTCCTTCAGCGAGGATGATGGTTCAGCACTCGGTGCGTTCGCTGCCGTCCAGAAGGGTATCTTCGTCGCCATGTCTGCCGGCAACTCTGGTCCGGGAGCAGGCACTGTTTCCAACCTTGTAAGTATCTCTCGCCTCAACTCTCCTTTCTCGCTTTGCTCCATTGGTGTGGTATTTTAACAATCTCGTAGGCCCCTTGGGCTCTGACCGTCGCCGCAAGCACGCTTGACCGTGACTTCCCTGCTCATGTTACCCTTGGCAACGGCAAGAACTACACCGGCTTCTCTCTCTACAGCAACGGTTCCGTCACGGATATCACGCCTCTTCAGGCTGGCGAGGTCCTCCCCCTCGTCCACGCGAGCCAGGCGGGCAAGGGCAATGTCACCAACGCCAACCTTTGCCTAGCAGACAGCCTTGACCCCGCCAAGGTTGCTGGCAAGGTCGTCGTCTGCGTGCGCGGAAACAACGGCAGAACCGAGAAGGGCGGCGTCGTCAAGGCCGCCGGTGGTCGCGGTATGGTCCTCGTGAATGCACCCGCTAACGGTGATGAGCTGATTGCCGACGCCCATATCCTGCCTGCCCTGCACCTCACTGCCTCAGACGGAGCCGAGGTGGAGGCCTACGCAAAGACCGGCAATGGCACGGCTATTTTGGACTTTGAGGGCACTAGACTCGGAGTCCCGGCTCCGCTTATGGCAGCTTTCAGCTCGCGCGGCCCGAACTACATCGTCCCGCAGCTCCTGAAGCCGGATATCACGGTACGTTACGAGCAACAACATCAAGTTGAGAGAGAGGCTGTGTAAGATTGTCAATAGACTAACACAATGACAGGGACCTGGTGTTTCCATCCTGGCAGCCTGGGCCGGCACTGGACCTACCGGTCTTGATATTGATACCCGCAAGGTCGACCAGAACGTCATCTCAGGTACGAGCATGTCGTGCCCTCACCTGAGCGGTCTTGCAACCTGGATCATGGCCCGCCGTCCGGAATGGAGCCCGGCCGCCATCCGCTCAGCCATGATGACAACCGCCTACACCAACACCAAGGGCGCCAAGACCCCCCTGCTGGACTCCTCCGACTCCAAGGCCGCGACTCCGTTCCTCTACGGAAACGGCCACGTGGACCCCGTCGCCGCCCTGAACCCGGGTCTCGTTTACGACATCGCACCCACTGACTACCTCCCTTGGCTCTGCGCCGTCAACTCGACCGTCGCCTTCACGACCGCCATCACCAGGAGCAACTTCACCTGCGCGTCCAACCAGACCTACAGCGTCTACGACCTCAACTACCCGTCCTTCTCTGCCCTGTACGATAGCGCTGCTGCTTCCGGCGGATCCTACACCGCCACCTTCAAGCGCACCGTGACCAACGTCGGAGGTGCCGGCACGTACAAGGCCGACATTTCTCTCAACGACGCTGACTTGGTCAAGGCCTCTGTGACGCCCGAGACTCTCACTTTTGAGGCGGCTGGAGAGAAGAAGACGTTCGAGCTGACTGTCACGATGAGCTCCCCGCCCACCGCCGACGCTACTTCCTGGGGCAGACTCGTGTGGTCTGACGGAACCCACGTTGTGGGCAGCGCACTGTCGTTTGTGTGGGGCATTCCGGCTCCAGATGCCGCTTAATGCCTGGAGACGTGAGACATTATTGTCGCGCCGTTGCAGAACGTTCGTCGAAGCCTCTTTAGCTTTCTTTGTTCATATGTTTTCTTTAATCTGGAGGAAGTAGTCTTGTGGGCGGTTGAGTTATCTTTTCGAGTTGTGGGCCTTTGGGAAAAGCGAGAAAAGCGAGAAGATTGCTCGAGGGGCTTTGTAGAGCCGCAATCAGGCACAATGCCTGTAGCTAAACTCAATTCATTTTGTTAATCTCAAACCAAAACTCCTTCGTTATTGACGTAATCTGGTATTCAACACTTTGTGATTTCTTTTGCTCTAGGCTGGTAATGGAATTCTGCCAAACCGCCAGGCACACGAGCCAAAGTCCCGTATCTTGGCCAAATCAAGTGTGGCCGTGTTGCTCGGTAGGGTCAGCACTAGACCATGTACGCCTTGGCGCTAGCGATAATTGAAGGATCAACTCCAGTATTGTGAAGGCTGTCAACGGAGTGAAGGATTCGCGGGATCAGCTTTAGACAAATGACGGATGGGCAAAACGAACGAACCGTCAAGGGTAAGATGGACATATCGAACGCCCGATACGAGCACCGACTTACACGCTAACTGCGCGTGGCTTGCGACCCCTGTGTGGGCTTACTGGTGATGCAATCGCAACCAATAAAAAAGCTCTGCCTTACTCACTCTCTTGATATCGTGACCAAGCTTTGCGATAAAAAAGCCAAAAACGAGTTATTTAACACTAAACTAGGTACTTTGGGCTTTAGCTGATGGCGCCAGAGGCTCCTCGCCGAGTCTCTAGTTTGAAATTGCATCTTTGTTCGAAAACCCGCAAACACGGCGGTCTTGTCCACTCATAATCACTCCGCTTCTCAATTAAGTTTTCTTGACACGGAAAATCGGAAAGGTTGTCTTCGTAAACTTCAGCAACCCATCCTGGGTAACCCTGGCCCCAGTTTCCACCCCCGGTGCGGCCGTGCCGCAGCCCGGTGGTGACATGTCATGTAAATGACGATCAGCCCCCTTGGGTAACTCGGGGTGCCTGGACGATCTATATTTACTTTCCGAAGGACAACATTCCCACGTTTTGGGGTCCTTTATCTGAACTTGTGTTCCCGACGGCATGTTACACTCTCTCTGAAAACTGAAAGACAAACCACATCACACATCAAAAGAATTGGCAATGCACATCTCACTCAGCCGCTCGCTGCAGCTGTTGACATTTTTTACGGGTTTCAGCTCTGCGGCGACGATAACAACGACGCCCACGGCCTCCGTGGAGGTTGACCTTATCTTCCCGCGCAATGGCAGCACCTACAAGCCCGTCTGGCCTTTTCCCTTCGTCTTCGCCGTTCAAAACGCCTCAAAGCTCTGGCCAGAGTCTGACGAAAAGAACTTTTACAACTTTTGGGTGAAGTGGGATCTCACGGGGTACACCGATATCAACGATGCGGATACGGGGCAGCTCTTCAGCTCAGGCGTCTGGCAAACCGAGGCCAAGAACAAAACCGCTGATACATATACTATCATCGACGCTTCCCGGAGAGACCTGGTCAACGCGACGCAGCGGGAGTTCCGCCTACGATACACGGCGACCATGTTCAGCGCTTGTCCAAAGAACGTTACTGGCGAGGGCCCGTCGTCAAAAGTCTACGACGTCTCGTACAACGGCACCGCCTTCTTCACAACCGACCCCAACGGACAGATTCCTTCTCTTGTCGACACGACTTCCTGCCCCGACTTTGTAGGCAGTTTCCAAATCACAGGCAACAGTCACGACTATGGCGATATCTGCCCCGTGGTATCGGACAAGGAGCCCGCGTCTGAGGCCTGTGAAATCAAGATGGACGCGGCTCTGGAGACGCAGGTCAAGGCGGCGATGCTCACTCGTGCAAATTGCCAGAACGGGACCTGGCCCGACCCTGAGGGGAAGCTTTCAGCGTTATCTTGCAATGCGGTCAAGACCAGCGATGCGAGTGCCAAGTTGCTCGGCGGCCTTGTCACCAAGTCCTCGGCGCTCGTGTTGATCTTGGCCGCGTCTTGGGCAATAGTCTGAGGGTCCGGCGTTGCCCCACACACACTTACACATTCTATCTGGGCTGAAATGCCGTCATCAAATGTGGCGGCTTTTCAGCTTGGCAACAGCGTTGTTTTTAGCCAACCTTTGGCATTTCTAAAATTCAAATTCTCTTTTCATTTTGTACATATTGGAATAGCGGCAGGGTTAAGATATACCATCCTAGACAGTGGGAGTTTTGGAGTTGTTTGTACACGAGCTGAGCCTTTCACCGGCGGTGGTGGTATTATTTGTCTTCGCGGTTCACTAGAGTCAACTTCCCTTCATCATGTACATATAAGTCCGCCTTTTTTTCAAGAGAGGGTTCAGTTAGAGTCTACCTTATTTAGGTACACATTATTCAAAGGCTATGCCAAGTCCTTCTTCAGTTGAAACTGCTCAAATTTCCATAGGAGCTCCGCAGACATGTTGCATCCTCTCTCGCCCGACTGAACAACAGATATCCCATCTTGATTCATGCCTGTTTGTTGGAAGTGGTATTCATGATTCTCCTCAGGTGGGCAATAGTCGCGAGGCCTTTCTGAACTGAAAATATCGTCATTGGTTAGTTTCGATGGCGTCTACTTAAATCTGAAAAGTTGTGAAAACAAGATGTTTATGTATTTTTGAGATCTTCTTAAATAGTCTATCGTAAGTCCAATCTGATGCTAAAGTAGGTGGGCTGTCAAGCTCACGTTAAGAGCATTTATTCTAGTCTGGCGTACCAAGTTATGTCAAGCGACACCAAGAACCTCATGTTTGACCGCGTGCACGATTGGGTTGACGCGACAACACAGCCTAACTTTCAAGCCATGACATCATCAATAGAGTGATTATTCGATAGGCTTCTGCTGAGTCCGCCACCTTGATAGATGATGTTCTCCCCACATGTGAATGTTGCGTACCCTGGAACGAGATGAACGGAATTCAAAAATAGCATTTGTTGATGTCCCTGAGTCGCCTGGTGATTTGAGAAGTTGATTATGATACCTAATGCTACGCGCGTCGCGCAAATAAACTCCCTGAAGTAGGGAAAGTTTCTAGATATCAATCTTTTCTCCGACCAACTCTTCACTAAGCGCTCAGATCTTGTCAGCATACTCCAGGTTCCTGGCAAATCCAGCGCACTGCTCGTCATCAAGCTCGCAGTCAATCATATAAAGGCCCTTCGACTCAAGGCTCGAAAGGTCCATGCTCGGTAAGTCGGGATCCACGGCAGAGATGACCGAGGAATCGGCGCCTTGATCTAGTGTCTTGGCGGGAGTCTCGAATCCAAGCCTCTTCAACCTCTTGAGTGCCTTCTTAATCTCCTCCGATTTGGCGTGGCGATTGATGTTTGTGGTGACTGCGCCGGGATGGATAGCGTAGGATCTGATGCCATATTTGGCTTCCAGCGTCTGAGTAAGTGATGTGACATCGAGTATAGCATGTTGGCCGTCTTGGACTGACCATATGACAGGAAACCAACGTAAGACTTTTCGGACCATTCTTGACCCGTCAAGAAGCTGGCCTTCTGAAGATCAGAAGTTCTTCTTCGGGAAGCTCCCCTGGAATCTTGCTGAAGTTGATGTCTGAGAAACGAACCGGCGAGGATTGGTGTCCGTAGGAGCTGACGTTGATAATTCTGGTAGGTTTTGAAGATGTCTCTCCTGCCTTGATAATCTTTGACTGGATGAGGTTCGTGAAGAGGAAGTGGCCGACGTGATTGGTGGCAAACGTCATTTCGATGCTATCTTCGGAAAGCTGAAAATCCGGGAGGGCTATGACACCCGCGTTATTGATGAGAATGTCAACGACAGGGATGATACTATTGAATAAAATCAGCAGCGGCAGCGTGTACTGATGCTATAGAAGATAGGTCCATGATCAGTGCATCATATTGAACTCCTGGGTACAGAGCTTTCAAGACGCTGACTGAGGCTTGTACCTTTTCGGGGGATCAACTGGTCAGAGTGAGGCATTCCGAACGCTGCGAAGCAAACGCAGAAGCAGTAGCCAGACCAAGGCTCTCCGGCGAGACGCTGGTGATAACGATTATCTTACCGGTGACGCTTTCAGAGAACGCCACGAAAATTTCTGTGGCTGAGGTCAGCTTGTCCAAGGCTGCTTTGGAAGGCATAGTGTCAACATTGGGATTGATGTTGACGAATAAATCCGAGGTAGAACGTCAACTCGGTGAGTTGATGAACAACTTGGAAATTCTGTTTTTTGGAGAAAAGCTTTCCACTTATGTAACTCGAAGGTGATTCTCTGATACCATGCTGGGATCGGGGGCTAAATCTAACCCCTCATATCGAAATGGGGACACCCTAGGTATCCAAGGAACTACAACACGGCGAAGCAACCCATGTCAAAGTGATACAATTGGCCAACTCCGCGATGCCTGATATTCCTGAGGTCTGCACGTAATTCCAGTTCATCTTTTCTTAGATCGGGAAGTCGGGTCTAGACCTACTCCGGTAGTGAGAAGGAGTGACGAACTACCTGCCAAGGCGAATCAAATTGAGTCTGAGTGGTCCAACGTTCCACGCCATATCTGACAAGGGCGTCAGCACTCCACACGGGCACTATCATGACGTGACCCAGCAGAGCTATAGATTTGGCAAGGGTGTAAGCACCCACCTTGTTATTTCGGAGATGCAATTTACTAACCGGAGCGACCTGTGATTCGCATTTCAACACAACGCATCGTATATGCATTCTTAACAAGAACTGGGCAGTGAGGAGCGAAACAATATGCCCTGAGTGGGTAGTCCTTTCGATTTGGTCAGTCTCTAGGTTTCGTCCTGATAATGAGTGAATTTATCTCTTTACCATGTGTAGTATTTCTTCGGGTACCTTAGCCGACACTTTGTTCTAATCAGACTTGACTTCACTTACACTCAACTTGTGTTTGTGTTCAAACAAGGCAGAGAAGCACGTATAATCAGGACATTATCAATCAAAAACCTCGCCTCAAAGTGGCGAGGTCAAGCATGTGATTCATTTAGCGCCTCGGGCAGTGGTTCTTCACGCATTCTCAAAAAGATGTTCAAGTCACTCAAGCTGCTCAGCAAGTCTTTGATCAGGCTAATATTGCTAAGGGATTGATCCAGTCAGCAGCGTATAAGACGCCTTGAGGTATATATAATTTCTAGTTGCGGCTTTGTTAACGACGAACGCTAACTCCAAGGGTTGTGGTCAATACCTTAGTTATGACTGTCGATGTTTCTGTCAATCTGGAGACTTCATATTATACATGAAGCATTGAGTTAATAGGTAGTATGCATGCGTAAGTCTAATTATTGAACATAAAACCTGAGCCAAATCTCAAGCTTCTTACAGTGGCTCTTGTCCAGATAAAACGTGATAGTATACACACGCGTGGAAAGCTGAGTTTCTAACGTCTTTCCGCACCTGCATCGGCAGCATTTTGACTTCCTCTGGAGTCCATCACAGCCCTCTCGTCAGAGGACCCATAGTAATAACTTGCAGTCCATCATACAGAACCACCTGAGAATACAAACCAATGGTTCTCAAGTTGTCATCTTTGGGCCACCTACCCAAAGGCACCTTTTTGATATTGTGAACTTTCGTCACGAATCCACCAGCTCTGAGACGTTCCGGGTTGGTCTCTGATGCGTAGAGCTCGGAGCCGAACTTGCTGAGACCTTCTTCGATGAGGTTTGTCATTCTGGACGGGGCGTAGTCAGGCGTCGTCGTGTCGTCATCGCAAGCAAATCTCCATCTCAGCTCTTGCAGCTTGATCCAGCCGGCCGGTTTCAACACTCTGCTATAGTGAGCACTGTTCTCCCTACCATCTATTTCCATAATCCGTGTAAAAACTCATCTGTATGCTTGACGCAAAAGCTTAGGCCAGTCCTTGATGAAAGGCGCCATGTGCCGCGGGTGAATAAAACCAATCGAGTTATCCGGGTACAACCACTCCGCCTCAGCATCATCGACCAAAAACTTGACATTTGGCGGCACAAAGCCGGGTTGGATAGGGCTCAAATCAATTCCGATTACGTGTGCTTCCGGATAGTTGTCACCCACTTGTACATCTGGTCTGCCAATACCGTTTCGAAATTAATAGACAAGTCTCTTTACACACTGCCGATAGCCCAGATGCTAGTACCGGTACCAATGTCATACCTTTGGGGGGTTATGAAGAGGCGCGCTATGCAGATCCCCATCGCAGATGTGAACTACCAAAGCGTGCTTCGTATCCTCGCGATCTTGCTCGGATTCATCATTTGGCCATAGGCAACGGCCTTGCTTGAACTTGTGGTAGCGGCGCTTTTCTTCCCCATTCATAGTCACGAACGCTTGAAAATAGCGAAGTCGTGGTATTGGACCTGCTATCGCCACCGCTCTCGTAGCCATCAGTGGATGGGTCCGGATCCTCTACAGCCACAGTTAGGGCGGCAGGAGCTGGTGACGACGCAGCAGCCAGCGATGCCGGTGCTACTGGTACTGCTGGTGCAGCAGCATTCTCATTATCTGCAGTCGTCGGTGAAACTCTAAGGACTGCTTCTAAAGCGATTGCCTCGCCGGCAAGCTCTTCTGCCACACATTTTTGTCGTTCGATAACTTCGATTGGGTCATCCTACTGGGGCTCACATCAGAGCAAGGATCACGGCCAATGCCCTGCATCCAGGGGGCATGGGGATGAGGGGATGAGATCGAACCCACCAGACCAAATGGAGTTCGTCGGGCTTACGTTGTAATTGAGCACTTCGCCTTACACGTGAGAAGATTTCTTTCAGAAACCAGACTTGCTATGCAAACTTTCACCAAAAATGTCGATTGAAGCTAATTGAAGCTGAGTGCGATGATAATTATGGAGCTGGTTTCCCGCTTGCACCTTGAGTATCTATAATCACTCTCCCTTTGCTCAAACTTTCATGCCCACTGCCACCGTCATCGTTTGCGACATCAATACTTGGCTCAGAATCACGTTCACTCAGTCGAGTAAAAGGACGCTCGTCCTCGGCACCGCCGCCGCCGAGCCCCTTTCGCATCGCCCCAGTACCAGAGCCTCCTAGATAACTGCTTCCATTTGCCGTGCTGGGCTTCGTACGGTCGTTGAGTATGTATTGTCCGCCTGAGTTCTGGCCACTCCGTTTGATTGAAGATTTCAGTCGGCCATTCAGCGCGAGGTTGAGGATCGGTTTCAGGCATGGGAGACAGGCTAGTTCTCGGCAAATGACGTATCAGCTGAATCCCATTGTAAAGTTTCTGGGCTGACCGTGAGACGAGAGGACCTACCGCAGATGATAGCCGTGTTGGCTTCGACATTAGTCCAGATAATGGTGTCGATGAAATTCCAGGTAATGTCCGGTGATGTGAGGTCGACTGAAAGAATCACATTTAACCGGGCCATAGAGACTACGGTAACGCTGTTCAACTTCGTCAGCAGCTGTTGCTTCCCCTAAAGATATTGCAGACTGCTGATTTACTCACAAAGTGCCGAGCGCAAAAATACCTGCAAGGGCAAACTTCTGTGCTTTGTGCAGCTGTAGCTTCCACACATAGGGGATAGGTAATAACACAACTAGTGCATCCGTTATAATATTGGGAATAGAGTTTCCCTTGAAGAACATCTTGACATCTACACCGCATGTGTATTGATCAGACGACAGGGGTTTGACTGTGTCGTAGCGTGCCCAGAAGGCATGAACAGGGAGACATTGGAAGATCGTGACGAGAATCTGCGAGCTTTGTTAGTGAAGTTCCCCAGAGATCTTCAAAAACCTAGACTGCATTCGGAGTCGCGGTCTTTCAACATACAACAGCAATAAACCAAGCTAAGACGATGCCGGCCATAGCCCAGATGTAATATCTGATGCTTTTACGGGCATTGAATATTCGCCAGTAGAGCGCCAATGTCGACCACTTGACTGTTGATAACGTCACTGTGTACGCTACTTCTGATACGAAAAGTCCAATTGCCCACGCTCTTGTCGCCGAGGTTGGCGCTACCCAAATGTGTTCACCGGTACCATTCGGTATCACTACAAAAGAGTCAGATTACCAGTATTGAAACGTAGTAGAATTCGGGCTCTTGACAATTGAACTGTGATTTCGAACTTCATGGAGTTGACTTACTGTATCCTATGCTTATAAAAACGTGCACAGCTGCTGCGGTCTGAAATTGAATTGTCAGCGAACATGCATTGCTTTCGCGCACTTTTATCGTAAAATAGAAATCAAAAATTCAAAAAGGCACGGATTTTCGTTGCATACCAAGGAAACAGTTATCAGCCAGTCCTCCAACCAAAGCTTGTTGGATTGTATTCGTCGGGCAAGAAACCGAAGCGCAACTGCGATGGCTGCGAGTGCCCACGTGCAACTGAGAGCACCAATGATGCTAGCAACTCTGGACTCGCTGAGATCTATGCCATCCGGAACTGGCAGAGAGGCCATCTTGCCTCCAGCTCTGTGAAGAATTCCGTGCCTGGGCTGGAAAAGAAAGAACAGACATCTGTCAGATTAGACTTTCAGACATTTTTTTGGGTGCCCGAACCAGACAATGGCCATGTTTATGTGTGACCAGCCGGAAACCGAGACTTGCCGTTCCATGCTGGCCAATAACTCGGTTCGATTCATAACAGTAAGATGCAACAGAACTAGGCTCTTGGCCCTGGTTCTTGCGCCCGGAAACTGGGGCCGCCAGGTACAAAATCGAGATTGATTTCTCCACGATCCGGGCATAACCTGGGACCACCGATTACCTATTACACTATCCGTTGGAACATCAACCCACCGGTCCACATAACGACTGGTCGGCATTCGTCTTACTCGTCAAGTATCACCAATTGGACTTGGAGGGAATTGTGACAAGGACCCTAAGAGTTGGCCGTAGTGCGAAAAAATGGCATGTTTTGGGCCGCCCTGGGAATGTCACTGTAGCTTGCTTGAGTCGTGCGATATCCACTTCAAGTCACCAACCAACACAATCAAGCTAACTTACCAGGTGCCCTAGCTCAATTCCCACGAAATAGGGCCCGTCTGGACGTAAATGCGCCCCAATATCGCCGGTCTCTGGTTCATATCCCGCCTACTAAAGAAACAGGGTTTGAACACCTTCCAAATTCAATTCCCGGTCCAATGAAATAATAAGTAACATGGTGTTCCCCTGATCAAGGTCTCTTGCCCGATCAAGCTTCCTCATCTCAGTCCTCTCTCTCACTCACCATCAAGTTCAGCCGGACCCTCTTCAAACTAAATCAACTTCTTGAGACCGCAACCATCATCGACGACGCAATGAGTTCTCGTACGCCTCCCACTTTCCTTCTGGTACCGGGCGCCTGGCATCGCCCATGGTCTTTTGACCTCTTGCGCGATGACCTCCACGGCCGGGGGTTCAGTACTGAAACAGTTACACTGGCCGGCGTGGGTAGCACCGATGTGAACGTGGGATTGGAACAAGACACGGCAGCCGTCCGCACCGAGCTACAGAAGCTCATCGACGACGGGCGTGAGGTTGTCGTGGTTGCGCATTCCTATGGCGGTGTCCCTACTGCGAACGCGGTAGAGGGTTTTAACTACAAAGATCGAGTTGCGCAGAGCAAGACTGGCGGCGTTCTCATGGTCGTGTACATGACGTCTTTTGCCATTGGTGCCGGGTCAGCTCTTTTCGACGGCGCGGGCTCAGTGCCATGGTGGGACGTCAAGGTGGGACAACATTCACATGCAGGTTCCGGAAAGTCAGAGACACTAGCTCATCACTCTCACCTCTTAGGACGGCTTTATCTCACCTCTCGATCCGATCTCCGTATTCTATGCCGATGTCGAGCCCGCTCTCGCTGCCGAGGCCGTCGAGGCCCTACGTCCTCAGCCTTTCAAGACCTTTCAAGACAAATCCAGCTTCGAACCTTGGAACGAAGGATTTGAGATGGGTTACATCTTTGCTGAGAATGACCAAGCCATACCGCTTGATCTGCAGATCATGATGGCTTCTCAATTTTCTCCCAGCTCTTTCACGGCTAGCCTTTCGGCGAGCCACTCACCGTTCCTCAGTATGCCTAAGGACCTTGGGGATGCTCTGCAGCAAGCGGCTAAAACTGCTGTCGCAAAGACAGAGGGCTTGAGATAGTTTGAATAGTACATCTTGCAAGTCAAAAGTGAGTAGTGATGCGTGCAAGTAGCCGATGACTTCATGTGGACTATGAGTTAGATGCCAGGAAGACTGTCTTATCGATGCTACCAGACAGCAGGTATTCATTCGGCAAGTCAACTTCACTACTTCCCAAGTTGAAGATGCAAAAGAAGTCAAATTTGCCCTCGGCCAAATTACAGCGCCAGATAAGCCTCGATTTTACACGTGAATGGCATGGAACCCCATACGTTCCTAGGTTCCTGACAGATCCGAGCCTTGAGTAATGCCTTCATGTTGCTTGTAAGGTACTGGGCAGTTGCTTGTGCCATCTCACTTTCATCATCATCTCCCCAGTTGCCGCTATACCACAACTGTCTACAATCAGAGGTAGAGAATGCAGTCCATGGCTGCTTGCGTCCGTCCCTTCCGCCGGTGCTTGGAATACCACAGGTGAGATAGACATCAGTGTGGTTTTGTCCCAAGGCTATTCTAAGCCGCAGGCTCGTTCTATATGGCGCGTCCTTAGGAATTAAGAACTTTCTGTTCAGACTATCCCAACGATCTGGGGGGAAGCCCTCCACGACTTGCAATTTGAGATGCTCTTCGTGATTCTGTAATATCTGTAGATATACATCTACTCTCCTGGTGACGGATTCTTGTATCTGCCTCTGAATAGACGGTGTCACTCTAGAGATCACGCAGGCGTCTTCCTCTACCACCATAGTTCTTCGGGCGTCATCCAATTCCACACGCGTATGTCGATACTTTGCTGCCATAGGCAGTACCCTCGAGAATAGGTTCGGGCCCACTTTCCGAAGAAAAACATTGAATATCTCTGGGTTCTTGCAATTTGGCGAAGCCGCGTAGTCAAGCTTCATCCCTAGGCAGTTGATCTCCGGAACCTCGAAAAACCGTCGCCGGCCGAACCGGATCCCGCGATTGGTCATGGAAAACTCTCGTCCGTCCAGCAACGTCCCTCTAATACGCGAGATACTGTTGGATTCAGAAAATGCTTCTGGAGACTTGGCGAGCATGTCGCAGAAATGAAGGTCTGAAAGATCTTGCGGCATGTTTTCTTCCCCTTTAAATCTTGTCGTTGATTCAGGGCGCAGCGGCGCGTGGCAGAATATGGAAATGTCGTTTGAACGCCGGATGATCTCCTCCTGCAGACGAAGGAATGCCCTATCGCCCTCGCCATATAGCATCGGCATGTTGACGTCAAAGATTCCAATGAGACAGTAGGCAATATCCTCAACCCTCGTTGTAGTCCGTCTCGATGCCCATGACATCCTACGCGCCACCGGCTTCGACTCAAGGAGTGTGCAGTCCCCTAGTACGTCCGCGTCCACCCGCGTGATGCTAGAGATGGCGGCCCTGAAGTCTGATCTGTGTCCTCGGAAGTTCCACTTCGCGTCGTAAAATCGGAGAACTCTTGGCGCAATGAGTTCCTGGAGACACCAGCCGCGGGTGAACCATCTGCAGTCCTTCAACGCATCGTCGGTAGACTCACCGTCGTCACCGGCAGCTGGCCAGTCTGAGAGGAAGGCGTAGCATACTTCGGCATCACGATACCAGCCGAACATGGAGTTGATCGCCTCGCCAAGCTCGGCGCTACTCGTCTTGTCAATGCAGCAGGTATCGATCCATGCGTACGCCATGCCGTTGGCCTTGGCTTCGCGGCATGTTGCGACGATCTTCTCATAGCCAGACTTCCGCGATGCCTTGTGATCTGGCGTTTCACTAATTTGCGTGAATTCCTGGAAGCTGATCTCCTCATTTTCGCCCCATGTATGCGAGAGAATAGCATAAGCTGGCGCTAAACTGGCGGTAAAGAGCCTCAACCGGAGAGTCTCCGTATCGATGAGCCGGATGGACATGCTGCGTGGTGAACCTGCTACCTGGAATTCTTGGTGACCTGCAAGTCCGCTTCAGATATCGTGCTCGTCGTGGAGCTCCCTGCCAAAGAGCAGCAGAGCGGACTGAAAAGTAGGCGGAACACGTACGATAATCAACGGTTATGCTGCTTGGGCCGGGTGCTTGACTTTGAGGACCCAGCTGAGTGTCGTGAATCCTAGTCATGCAGGTAACATGCATGGTGCACCAATAGCGTCGCTTGTCACGCTGCATCCAAGCCAATAGTCACTTACCATAATTGGCACGATAGCTTGTGTGTTCTCCATTATTTCTGACTGTCACAGCTACTTGGTCTCTACTCTTCAACAGGGTTGATATCAGAACATGGGCCGGGAACCCAACATCGAACTTGCATCAGGAACCAATTTCAGGGGATAACACTCATTAGATGCATTACATAGTACTATTACTATACTAAATGCGACATGGGTATTCACTTTGAAGTTTCAACGCTCCTTGCTTTGCGAATTGCAATGCCTCAAACTCTGTGTTCAGCATCGCTCTGGTACTGTCTCTTATCCTCATCATCTCCATGAGTGACCAAAGCCTCAGTCTTCTCACTCACAGCAGCCGCAGGAGGCACCGCAGCATCATCACCGTCAAAGATGACAGCCATTTGCTCCAGAGTGTGTCCGCGAGTCTCGGGGTAGGCGAAGAAGACGGTGATCCAAAGGAGAGCGAGCATCACGATGAATACAATGTAGTACTTCCAGTGAATAGCCTCCAGTGCAATGGGGTTCACAAAAGTGTTGATGAAGATAGCGATGACGGTTGAGCACCAGGTGACGGTGAGACCTCGGGATCGGAGGCTGAACTGCCAAATCTCGCAAGGGTAGGCCGTGAGGAAGGGAGTCCTAGTGTCATGTAAGTGAGTGTTCTCTTGACAAGAACGCCCAATTCTCGCGAGTTCGAGATTGGCTCTATATGGGCTCAGAAGACATAAACTTACATGGCGATGTCGTATCCAGCAAAGAAGATGAACAAGAATGGGATGACCGAGGATCCGATGGCCGATGACTGGGTCGTGGCGAAAGAACCACTGAGGCCAGTAATGATGATGAAGCTCACCAACATGACGCTGGCAGAAGTCAAGAACAGGAAACGGCGACCCAGCTTGTCGACGCTGGTGGCGGCAGCGATTGCCCACAACAGGTTCCAGACGTTCAGGCAAGCCGAAATCAAGGTCTGGTTCGTGACTGATGTGACTCCAATCGAGTTTAGGATGACTAGACAGATGTTAGCAAAGCCAGATGGACACAACCTATAGAAAGGTGTCTTTAGGGTAAAATATCGTACGAGCTAGGCAGATGTTAGCTATCGAGACAAGGAATGCGATGCTATCGATCAAAACTCACGGAGATAGTATGACACGACGCCATTACCAGCCCATTGGGCGTAGATACCGAGAGTAACAGAGATAAAGAGGCGATGACGGTTTCCTGGTGTCTTGATCATATCCATATACGAAGCGCTGGAAGAAGCCTCCTTTTCTGCGGTAATGGTGGCCTGGATCTCAACAACCTGGTAGGTTACCAAGGGATCGTTTCTGTTACCACCTGCGTGGTGAGTGGCCAGAATCTCGGTGGCCTCCTCGACGCGTCCAACACTAATCAGCCAACGAGGACTCTCAGGCGATAAGAGGAAGCCGGGCAAAGCAACGAAGGGAAGGACAATCTGGAGAACGACGGGAATACGCCAGCACCAGTCCGAGGCAATGTCACGGCAGGCAAAAGTGACCCAACCGCAGAGCGTACCGCCAAAGTACCAGCCGACCATGAATAGGGCATTGGCGATGGATCGTTGCTTCGGGTGGGCGATCTCGTTAATCAAGAGAGGAGCCGAGTTTCCGAGCCACGAGGCGGCGATACCGATGAAGAGACGGGAGTAGGTGAAGGTCGCTTCGTTTTGGGCTGCCGTTTGCATGACGACACCGAGAATCAGGAATAAGTATCCGACGTAGATGCCAGGCTTGCGACCCCAACGGTTGGAGCATATGGCGGCGATGGGGAAGGCGATACCGTTTCCGAGCCAGTAGATACCTGTGATCCAACCAAGGTATGCGCCGGAGGGGTTGTGCGTAAAGGCGTTCCATCGAGGAAGGGCAAGGAGACCGCCCATGATGGATCCATCGTAACCATTGGCAGAAGCTGGGAAGTCAAAGTTAGCTACAACAGGTCACTGTTTGTTGAGCCGAGTTTACACACAGAACAACACCATAGATAAGGTGATGAAATTGAGCTTCCGCAAGTGGGCGTGCTTCCACCAAGGGAGGTCATCGCCTGGGATCACGGCCAGGTCCTCGACAGGTTTACCCATGATGACGTTGGGTTATCAGGGTCGCAAGAGAGGCTGGCAAAAGGATTAGAGACAGAAGTTTCCGGATCCAAAGAGGAACTCTCAAAGATGTTGTCGTCAAGTTGTCTGGACTCTTTAGAGCCTGCGAGCGCCGTGAAGCAAGGTCACATCACACAGTCCAGGGGGGAAGAAGGCAAGGTCTATATACAATCGATGCTCCCTTCACAAGTGACAACAGGGGAAACAAGTCGGAATTTGGCTTGCGGTTTGCGTACAAAAAAAAAACCGAGGAGGTGGAGCATGGCATCCTGATGCCCCGGTCGTCGCGTGTTCGTCCGGAACACAGATTTGGGTCGGATGGGGGATTGGGGAGGGGCCAGAACTCTCCAGTGTTACGCCCCATGGAGAAAACGCTTCCAATGCAGGCCGTCGCGGGGGCCCATACGACCCACTTGACAAACATTGGTAAAAGTGGTTTACGAAGTAGTCGTAAGGTTGGTCTGGAGAAAGGAGGACACGGGGGCGGAGAATTGAGTCAGTTCATGCTTTGATGTGACGGGAATAGTCAGAGTTGAGGTCTTCAAGAGTCAGGAGACTAAGGGGGCCAACACTGAGGCGGAGAAATGTGTTCTTGGCTGGCGTTGGCTTTTCCATAGCTGAATCTGCTTAGACCAAATACTGCCCTGTGCCTCACCCCACTAAGCCGTGGCAGTTGAGGCCGGCTTTCAGACCATTTTTTCTATTTCTCCGCCTTCGAAACCGTTTCCCCATCGTTACCAGATTTCCGGCGCGTCGGCTCACCATCCACGCGACTCTGAAGCAGTAAAGTGGACAGTAAAGACCTAGAATACTCATTGATTCAAGTGTGACTACGTCATGGCTTTCGGAATGCGATTCTTTATGCCCGACGTGTGGATCAGAACCCCGCGGTCGAGGGGAGACACAGAGACCATGCTGGAGACTTGGGACTCCCCGCGTTGGCTCCGGACTCTCCGATTAAAGAGAAGCGCCCGTCAATCGGCTCAATTTCTCCCTTGATCGATTGCTGGTGTCTATTTGGTTCTTCTTCAGACACATTTCGGATCTTGTTGTTGGAATTTACCTGTCTCTTCGCCGTCTGAACTGTTTCCCAAGACCAGCTTCCTGTCACACGTTTCATCATGGACGTCGAAGCACTTCTTGAACAGCTCACGCTGGAGGAGAAGATCTCACTCACGGCTGGTCAGTTACCAAAAACCACCACTCGAACTCAATTCTAACTAAAAAAAGGCGTTGGCTGGTGGCACACGGCAACAGTCGAGCGCTTGGGAATCAAGCCAATCCGTCTCTCTGACGGCCCCAACGGCGTTCGCGGTACACATTTCTTCGACAGCACCCCTTCCGCGTGCCTTCCGTGCGGAACTGCCATCGGCGCAACATTCGATGTCGAGCTGGTCCAAAGGCTCGGCCGACTGCTGTCAGATGAAGCCCACGCAAAGGGCGCCCACGTCCTGCTTGGCCCTACAATCAACACCCAGCGTGGGCCCCTGGGCGGACGTGGTTTCGAGTCCTACTCCGAGGATCCGGTACTATCTGGCATCCTCGCCGGCAACTACGTTAATGGAGTCCAAGAGTCAGGCGTTTCAGCCACGCTGAAGCACTTTGTGTGCAACGATCTCGAAAGCGAGCGTATGGCCGTCAACGCCATTGTGACCGACCGTGCCATGCGCGAGATCTACCTGCTTCCCTTCATGATCGCCATTGAGATGGGCAAGCCCCGCGCGATCATGACCGCCTACAACCAGGTCAACGGTGTCCATGCGGCGGAGAACAAGAAGATTTTGCAGGACATCCTGCGCGACGAGTGGAAATGGGACGGACTGGTCATGAGCGACTGGTTCGGAACCTACAGCACATCTGAGGCCATCAAGGCAGGCCTCGACCTCGAGATGCCGGGCCCTAGCAGATGGCGCGCCGGAGCTCTCTCCCACGCCATCATGTCTAACAAGGTTAAGCGATCAGAGCTCGACTCGGCGGTGCGAAACGTCCTGAAGCTGGTCAAGCAGGGCCTCGAGAACACCTCCATCCCACCCAACGCCCCGGAAACCGAGGCGAACACACCAGAGCACATTGCGCTCCTACGCGAAGCAGCCGCCAAGTCCTTGGTACTCCTGAAGAATGAGAGAAGCATCCTTCCTTTTGACAAGAACAAGAAGATCGCCGTCATCGGGCCCAACGCGAACATCGCGACCTACTGCGGCGGTGGTAGCGCCGGACTCAGAGCCTATAACACCGTCACTCCTCTGGAGGGCGTCAAGTCCCTCGCAAGCGACGTCGTTTTCTCACAAGGTGCCTACGGTCATCAGTCTCTGCCTCTCCTTGGCAAGGCTCTCAGAACACCAAACGGAAAACAAAGGGGTTTCGTGCTCCGCATCTACAACGACCCCCCACCCAAGGACACCGCCAGCTCAGCCGACAGTCGGACACCCCTTGAGGAGCGCGTCCTCGACGATGCCAACATCTGGTTCGTCGACTACGAGAACGCCGACCTCAACCCCATCTGGTGGGCCGAGACTGAGGGCACCCTCGTCCCCGGGCGATCAGGAGAGTGGGACTTTGGCCTGTCAGTTCATGGCACCGGTGAACTCTTCATCGACGGTAAACTGGTTGTCTCCAACGTGGAGAACCAGCGCCTGGGCAGCAGTTTTCTCGGCTGCGGAACGGTCGAGGAGACGGGCACCATGCACCTGGATGCTGGACGAAGCTACCGCGTCTTGGTGCGCTTCGGCTGCTCGGCCACCAGCAAGGTCAAGGCCTCCGGCACCGTTGACTTTGGCCAGGGCGGCGTCCGCTTCAGCGGCTGCCCTAAGCTCGAGCCTGCTACCGCGATCCAAGAGGCCGTGGAGGTCGCCAAGAGTGTCGACCAGGTAGTTGTGTGCACCGGTCTGAGCGGCGAGTGGGAGTCTGAAGGATTCGATCGGACGACGATGGCTCTGCCTCCTGGCACCGACGAGCTTGTTGCTGCTGTGCTGGCGGCGAACCCTAACACGGCTGTTGTTGTTCAGAGCGGTACGCCGGTCTCCATGCCTTGGATCGACCAGGCCGGTGCCGTCCTGCATGCTTGGTTTGGTGGCAACGAGTCTGGTAACGGCATTGCGGATGTACTCTTTGGAGAGGTCAACCCGGTAAGTCATCTCAGGTACTATCGGAGAGCGTGAAGTTACCCTACTAACAAGCTACATCGCAGGCCGGAAAGCTTCCCCTTACAATGCCGCGCCGAGTACAAGACAACCCCGCAGCACTAAGCTTCCGCTCAGATAATGGCCGTTGCTTGTATAGTGAAGATGTTTACGTCGGCTACCGCTGGTATGACACGCTCGACATTGAGCCCCTGTTCCCCTTCGGACATGGCCTTTCCTACACGACATTCGAGGTTTCCGATCTCGAGGTGTCTGATGCGTCGGCCCAGACGAATGGCCACGCCAATGGCAACAACACAATCACGGTTCAAGAGGCGGATAGCCTCACCGTCCGCGTCAAGATTGCCAACACTGGCTCTCGTGCCGGCTCTGAGGTCGTTCAGGTCTACGTCACACCGGCGGCGCGCACGCCATTGACCAGCACAACTCGCGATACCATAACCCGTCCCAAGAAGGAGATGAAGGGCTTCGCAAAGGTCACGCTGGAAGCTGGAGCCAGCGCCACGGCAGAGATCTCTTTGGATGTTCTGCGTGCGACGAGCTACTGGAGCGAGATGGAAGACTGTTGGCGTAGCGATGCCGGCTCTTACGGCATTCTCGTGGGAACCAGCAGCCGTGGAGAGTTCCTCGAGAAGACAGTCAAGGTGGAGAAGTCGAGGACATGGAAGGGATTGCGGGCGTAGACGAATAGACTTAGATATGCATTTGTACATAAGTGGATGGGATGTTAGACATCGTGCGTTGAGACGATGATTAGAAACGCCTCATAACGCATGTTCTGCTCATGAGAGCACATTTCAATGTTGAATATAACTGGTGACGATCAAAGCAGTTGGCAGGGGGATGTGCCTTCTGAGTAATCTTGGTGATTTGCAGATTTCTTCGTAGAACTTCACGTTGAAGGTTCCACTCGAGAACCTCCGTCTGCTAATTTGAGTCGTGCCATCCCACTTGACGGATCTAATCTCAGAAATTGTCGGCCTTTCGCCGCGATCACCCATCAACAAACTTCGGGCGTTGCCCGAGTCATCCCTGGTGGTAAAACATCTTCCGATCACGCGCAAAGCTGCCATCCCATGTCTAACCCCATTCGAGAGTGGGAAATCCGCTGGGGACCCCGGGATTTATCGGCCGGGGCCACAACGCGCCTCCATCAAGTCCCATTTACCATGAATTAGCGTTGGGATCAAATAACACTAAAAGGGAGCATGTCAACCCCCTTTCATCCCATTTCTCCGCATTCTTCACATTTCTCCCCCTCATTTTCCCTCTCCACGTTTTCCAGAAATCCCGGCAGGATGGGTGCGGCACCACCATCCCTATCGGTCCGAATTCCACCAGCATGCGCCGTCGCTCGAGCACTCAGGCTGCGTCCGTCAGCGTCTCGCCAACTGCGATTCGAAGGGCTGCTAGCAAAACGCCAGACGAGACTACAGGCTTATCGTCGACGGCAGCGGTGAGATCGAGCATCGCCAGCAGAGCGTGCGACGCTTGTCGTGCTCGGAGGAGAAAATGCCACTTTGACGGGTCTTCGCCCCATGCTGAGGGGCCGTCTCCGACGCAGTGTCGTGATTGCTGCAGACTCGGCATACCATGCAGCTTCCTGGTGCCCACGAGGCCGCGGGGACCTAAACGAAGGTATGAAGATCCGGGGTAGCAGGGGGTTTTCGTTCTGTGTGCAAATTCTACCCAGAGTCACTCACTTACTGGCTTGGCAGGAAACGTCTCCCATCAATGTCTGATAGGAGCGAGAGTGAGCTTCCCATTGAAGCGGAGACTCATCATGTAGAGACTGTCGAGCAGCAATCTCAACACGTTCCTGAGCCTGCAGTGAGCATTGAGCCTGTCCTCGTCTTGTCAGGTCAGACTCCTCCATCAAGACCTTCACAAGCCAGGTCTCCCTATGGCCCGCCTCATTCTGCCCTTCATGGCCCATCTCCGCGTGCCGCAGCCCCGGCCCAGACGGAATCGCCCTCGGTAGCCGGCGTTGGGTTCCCAACAGATGAGTTGTGCTCAAGAGCACTTATACACATCTTGATGGCAGATTACCTCGACTTGGTCTACCCGCTGGTGCCTGTGGTTCATCGGCCCAGTTTCCGTCATGATCTGGCCACAAATCGGGACATAACCGATCCGGACTTCTTTGCTGTCCTCATGAGTTTAGCCGCGCTCACTGTCGGGTTGTTGCCGTCGCGCTTCCGCGACTATAGGGCAGTTGACCCCGAAGCTGCGATGCGCTTTGAAAATAGAACTGCAATGATCAATTGTTGCGCGGAGATATGTACTCGACAACGGACTGCAAACTACTGGGATCACATTAACCATCGGAAATGGGCAGTGTGTTATGTCCTTTCCGTCGCCTGCTTTCAAACAGGTCAGGTCAACCGGAGCCGGATGTTCGATGTGGAGTACTTGCAAGTTTCGCGACTTCTTGGGCTGCATCGTATTTCCGAGTATGAGGGTCTCAACTGCATCGAGACCCAGTTACGGAAGAAGGCCTTCTGGATGCTCTTCTATGGCTACGCGTAAGCCAAAGTCTCATCCCTAGTATACCACTTCGATCATGAAAGACTAACAACTACCAGGCATACCAGAGTTCAAGCAGGACGCTGGGAACGGCTGACATACTTTGGGCCTGGTGAGCTACGCGAGGTCAACTACGACGCTCTCATGCCCCTCGACATCGACGATGAACATATCTTCAGAGACAGGATCCTAGACCCCGTCTCTCCAATGGCATCGCATGGAACACCATCCGCACATGCGCAGGAACCCCGAGCCATGTTCACACTCACCAGCGGCTTCATCATCCATTCACGGGTCTTCCACAAGGGTCTCCAAGAAGCCATAGCCACATTGGGCTGCGAGTGTGAGCTCCGTCGCACCCCCGCCGCCCGTCTCGCACGCATGCGCGATCTTCTCCAAGAGATGAGATACATGCTCGACGACGTTCCGGGCCCCATGCGGCAATGGGCTTCCAACGATAGGGGTACCGATGCGGCCCCCAGCACGCCGCGGTTTGACGATGAAAGAGCTACAGCTGCCGCGTCGAGCTATGGCAGCCCGGCAGACTATAGCCGTGTTCCGGAGGCCGGATCCTACTCACAAGTGCTTCAGGGCCAAGCCGAGATCATGAGAGCTAACATCCATGTCACGCATCTGTGGTTGCAGAGCTTGCTGCTGGAACAAGTCGACGGTGTCACCCAAGAGAGCGCGATTGCCAACCCCTCGACAACTGGACGTGAGGAAGTGTCGACCGCCCTGAAAGCGAACTGGGCCGAGCGTGAGGACATTTGCCGTCAAATGCTGCACTTGCTACACAGTATTCCATATGTTCACCTGGAACCAAACGGACTCTACCTGGTATGCTCAACGCTCGATCCCAGCTTGTGCAAAGTTCAGTCTCTAATCACATCTCTCCAGGCGTACAAGGTCCGCGATGTGGCTGTAACACTACTCAACTGTCCGTTCGAAGCCCATGAACGGCCTGCCCGTCGTGCGGTGGAGTACATGCGGGACTTCACTCGCGCATTATCACGGCTCGATCGAAGTGAAATTGTGAACACGAATAGTCTTAAAAGCTGGATCGACATAGACCGGGAGCCTGCAATATGACAGGGTGGTCTACAGTATTTCGGCATCGACAAGTCAAAATGATGACTGTGTCGGATTATGGAACGCTGCCACGAATTACCAATGAGGGTCGCATATAAACGGCATTAATCCTGTTTCAAAGCAGAATCGTATTGAAGTGATCAGATCATATGTGGTGATGTTATGCGTCACTGGTAGTTGGCTTCCTCAAGCGACAGTACCTTGGCGGCTTACAGTGTTGCGTGGTGCATCGCGACACCTTCAACGCAGCAAAACAGGCCCAAAACTTGCCGGCACGGTTCCTTGAGGCCAAAAGTAAATAGTCCATTCACAAGGAGTGAGTATGTCTTGAATAAAGGCAAAACAATCAAAAGATTTGAACCCGGAGAGGTTCGAACTCTCGACTTTGAAGAAGCATACTGTCGTGGTGATCACGAAGTATAAGCATCACACTCTAACCAACTGAGTTACGGGTCCTGGGTTGCGCCGGAAACCGCTCGGTTGCGGGTCTATCTTGCGTGTCTCCCTGTTTCCCCCGTGTTTGCTCGAGTTTCCGGGAGCCCAGGTGGAAGCAATGTTTGTTGTGGTGGGCGGTTTGCCAGCTTGGCGCCACAGCTTTGCTCGGAACAAAGGCGCGAGAGTATGCTCGAAACAAATCATACAATGAAAGTGGAAAGTTTCTGAGTGCAATCGAGGACTTGGGTTGAAAGCCTGGGAAGTACGAAACTTTGAAGGGAATTTTTCCTTTTCCCCAAGTTTTTCCCGAAGAGACCAAGTGGGCTCTGCCACCAATGAAATGGCTTGATCTAAGTCCCTGGCCCCTCTGGATTGAGCTATCTGAATCGCCATGTCAATAAGCCACAACTTGGCAACCTCGGCTTCTTTGTACGTTGTCGAACTGCGCTTCCAGACCCGTTGGGACTTCGTCACTTGAATCACAACGACTGTGGACTAAGAAGACTAAAATTTGGGAAGAAACATTGGGTTCGTGGTCTGGATATCGTTCATCCTCGATAGACGCTATTCAAACCATTTAGTACGAAAATGGAGAGCTGGCTGATTAAACAAGGGCCAGGGCTCATCCTTCCAACGAATACAAGACATATATCAAGTCATCATACCACCAACGCCTTACTGAGCGAGCTTACCGCTCATCATTTTCTACCAACTTCCCGGCCCTCCTACTCTTCCACTGATCACTCCTTTATCGATGGTCGATATTCACTTTCCTGCTCTGCGAATGAGAAACGTGGCATGTATCTGGGTGGCGGAGAATTACCCAAGTCCCTCGCCGTTGGCAGCTCGACTGGCGCAGCGGCGGGTGCAGGAGGGGCCGCAGCAGGAGTCGCCGCCTGGTTATCTGGGGCTTCGACGACGACGCTAGGAGCTACAGACGAGATCCGGTGATCGCTGGGACCGGCCTAGGTTAGCAAAATACCAAAACAGCAGCAAGATCTGAAGATACTTACTGGTAGGTCTGCATGCCGTTAACAGGATGTGTGAATCCGGTAGGTTGGGGGCTCAGTTGAGGGGAGAACTGGGCCGTCGGAGTGGCGTGGTCACGGTAGGGGCCGCTGAAGTTGCTGTAGTGACTATTTCTCCATCCTTGAGTTGATGGACTCTTGGGTTGCATCGAGTAATTGAGCTCCGCCACCACGGGCTGGGATGGAGCAGTGGGAGGTGCCTGGTATGCGGTAGAGGTTCTCTTATACGCGCGGTTGATGCCGCCTCGTCGGCCGCACAGATATACCAATAGGCCTCCCAGGAAGAGGAAAGCTAGAGAGCCGATCACGATACCGGCAATTTGGCCGCCGCTCACACTGTGATGGTAGTTGTTGATGACGGCGCCGTTGTTGGAGCCGCCGCTAGTTGCCTTTGGTGCATCTGATTCAGTCGGGAAGGGTTCACCAGGGAGAATCTGGGTGGTCAGTGGGAGGGCTGCCTCGAGCTGTTTGTCGAGGGTCTGGGTCGAGTTCTGAGACTTTGTGAGTATACGTGAATCTTTTGGCATTCTTGTTGGTGTGCCTTACCTCGTTGATTACACCGATCATCTTCTCTTTGTAGCATGAACCAGGAGCACCACAGTAGT